AAGGCTCCCTGAAAGCGGATGGTGGAAAGGCTATGGTAGGCGCGCTGTGCGGCGTATTCAGACGCCTCTGAGCTAGCGCCGCTTTTCAATCACACTGCCTCTAAATTGCTGTGGTGTTACCTGAAAAGATGGTAAAATGTATAGAAGCGTTTCTTCTCGTTTTTGTGAATCGATGAGATGTCTGAAGTGTTGAAATGCGCCTTGGTGTTATTCCAACGCTGATGTGCAATGTCATTCAAAACCTGAAACAAGGCCATCTTCCAAGATTACGGTCTCTAGGCTCGACTTGCCGAGGCAGAACCTACTTCGCACGCCTTGTCCAACTTGTTGGTAGCGATCAGCCATCGTGGTGACTCCAAAAACAGCATGAAACCTATGGCAAGTGGTGATGAGACCAGATTGAGAAATACGAAGAAATTCTGCCATCCCTGAAAATATTCGTTCAACTTATTTTCTGGGGGCTTTATGAAGGGTAAATTGAGAGTGATCAAACGCAGTCCAGGCGACGTACTTGGAAGGAGACATTGTAGGTTGGAATAGATGGTGGTGTGACTGGACGAAGATAATCTGTAGTACGACAGCACCTGTCCTTCACACGGCATTGGACGGCGTACAAATTTGGTCAGTACAAGGGCTCACAGAGATTTGCTAACGTTGATTTCAAGGTACCATTTTCAATTGAATTCGCATCCATTCATGTTTCACTGCCCAGCTGCACAGAGTGCTGGGTACAGAAGCAGCTCTTAACTTGCTTCAAGAAGCTCACCTTCACTGGAGTTCTTTATCAATTTGTGATGCCTCTCTACTCAAGGTACAGTTACATCTGCGCTGTAAAAATAGATCACGTGTAGATAAGCAGTCGGCGGCAGCCTTATTTCTACGATGCCACGCATCAGCTCTGCTCAATCGTGCGAATTACATTGCCGCGACATTCACCGTCAGTCTAATGTTACCATAATGAGTTGAGGTCAGCTGTGAAAAAAAGGGCGGAAAACGCGTCGTGGCAAGTGGCGCTGCGCACCACGAGCACGAACCGAGAACAAATCCTGGATCGCACGCCGCAAGCCTTCCATCTGACTAAGGTCGGCTAACTGATAGCAAACTTGTCTGGAAGGATAGAAACATTAAGGCGTGCATTTACTCCTATTCTTGCATAGCGTTACCCCCTCAACTCATTGTGTGAAGTGAAACGCATTCAAAATGCCCCTACGATTTCGGATGCTTCAAATGGAAGTAGAAAGCCTGGCACATCCCAGAAAGGGACTCATAAACGTCGCTTGCTTCATGAATTAAAACTGAACCTTCGTGAGAAAAGCGATCAGCGCTATTGTCATATAAGCAAATGGCCACTGAAATGCGGACGCCATCACTACGCGATACCTAGAAAATAAGTAATTTTATTTTTCACAAGAATGCTGGGTTGTGAACAAAACTTTCGCCCCAGGCGGGACTAGAACCCGCACCTCTCGCTTTCCGGGCAAGTGCGCTACCAGTTACGCTACCGGGGCACCATTTCATCCCAACTCAGCTTTTCATGGTATTCTCATGGTACAAGCTATGGTACGTGGTTACGTACCATGAAAAGCTGAGTTGGGATGAAATAGTACATCGGCAGCATAATTGGGAGCGCACTTGCTCGGAAACGAGAGGTGCGAGTTCTAGTCCCGACTGGGGCGAAAGTTTTGTT